CGACGAAACTGACAACAATTCTTGGAATTACCAGTTAAAATTTAAGCTTGATCGCATGCAACATTCAGCAGTTGTTAAATGGCCATTTGATGAACATCGAATCCATACAGAAAGCGCAGAAGATTTAGATGCAACATGCACACTCCTGATTTCACTATGAACCATTCATGCCGAATGCACTACTTTAGGGGCCTGCACAGTTCACAAATTAACTCACAACTGTGAAGTGGAAAAATTTATATTTGTCCTTACCGAGCTTAATATAACGAATCTTGTGAAGTAACTTTCTTATGCAGAAGAGAAGAGCAAGGTATTTATAATCCCTTGTTACATGTGGAATCTCAGTGCAACTCGATGCGCAATAGTATATATACGAATAAACTCAAAAATGAAGTCCTTCTTACCTTCTGAGCAACCTGTCCTTATTCTAGGATAAAAACTTTCTTTCACCTATGAGCCTAAGTTATGTCCATGGAATCGCAATATTACATCAATCAAAACTTCCCCCAAAATCAAGGCCACTTGAAACCCACAGCAACGTAGCAACCGACATCGTAGCAGGGATATGCAATAAAGCCACTCTCCTTTTTCGGTCTTTTTAAAAATGTACTGGTGTGAGACCTGTCATCTTTTACCTCTTTCAAGAGGGGAATATAGGTTGACTGTTACGCACGGAATACCTGTGTTTCAACGGGACTCCCAAATTTCTTTATAGTAGTTATTTACTCCCTAATGTAAGCAACAAAGGTTACACTGACCTAATGAAGGGTGCGTTTTTGTCAATTAGGGCATTGGACACCCTAAAAATTTCGTCGTGTTTTGAGAATTTACAAAGTAAAACAAGGGGGGACAGAAATCAGTTGAAACAAAGTAATTATTGTTAGAAGTAATAATTTCCATATAACTGGATCACCAGTCGCTGCATGAGACAGTGGTAAAAGTATGGAAGTACGTTTATCACCATACAATTACGGTCACCATGGGCAACCCGCAGAGTTAGATGCAAGTATCCAGTGATCACACCGATTTAATTTCAGTGTTAAACTATGTGTGAAAATGGTCTAGATTCAAATTTTGATTGAGGATAGAAGCCTTAGAGCCTATGTTAATCCCTTTCTAGTAAATTTTTGTGGTTGTCCAATCCCTTCTTGAATGAATCAGTTAAGGTTGCAGACACCACTTCTTCTGAGAGTCGGTTCCAAGAGTTTACGACTCAGTGGGGGGAACTAGTGCTCAACAGTAATATGATTTCTTCTTGGCTTTTTAACTCTTCTGTTATATCCCCCAAGCTGTTCCGACCTGGTGGGAAGGAAAAGAGAGAATAGGTCAGGTCCGTAGTCATTATTTAAAATTTTAAACATTGTGATTAAATCTCCTATCTGCCTTTGGTATGACAGGGAGAAGGGATTTAAACTGTCTAATCTTTCCTCGTATGATAAATTAGTCATGACGAGAACCGTTCATGTTATCTTCCTTTGAACCCTTTCTAGAATATTTGAGTCCCCTTTAAGACAATGACTGGCTGCCTGGATACAGTTTTCTGGTCTTGACCTCACCAGGGATGTACATAAGGATTTAAACATATCTCTGGTGATTCCAGTAAGGCTCTGCGAATCGCCCATAAGGATTTGAAACTATGTGCAGCCACCGCGCCACAATGTGCTGTAATTTTTAAGTCGTGGCTAACTATGACACCCAAATCCAAATTAATCTGAATTGATAGGATTGTTATTCCCTCTAATTCGTAGGAGCTGATGTTTGGGGGTCTAGTGCCCATGGTTGCACATCTCCCTACATTTATCAGGAGCATCCATCCCCTAGACCACTCTGGCATTTTGTTGAGGTCTTCTTGCAACGTGGGCGCACCACTGTTCATCTTCAGTTCCCTCCAGATTTTTAAGTTATCTGCATGTAATACTATTGGGGAATCCGTGAGCTAATCCGTGAGACTATTAGGCATAAATTATGAAGGGCTTAATCTTGACACTCCTTTGTGGATGAGGGTCACTATGGCATCTTTTTAGTCACGTGGTAACGCCCCATTTGGAAGAGATAGCTTGAAGGTCGTGGTCAGTAGGCCGGCTATGTGAGCTGATAGCTCCCTGAGAAGTCCTGGATGAAGACTATCAGGGCCACCTGATTTCCCTGAATCTGGTTTCTTCAGGTAGTTGAGCACGATTTCTTGGTCAACGTCAATGGAGTCTATCCTGTGCTTCTCTGATGCGACCGGAGCTGTTCCTGTTGGGAATGACGACTCCCGTGTTAAGACTTTGGGAAAGTAGTCTGCCATGGCTTATACTTCTTCTCGGTCTTCTTCAACTGTGTAGTTGTCAATAGTCAGGTTTGGGACCCCATGGAATATCATATTCCTGAAGTTCATGCACGAGAGAACTTTCGTAGGTTATGCCGTTGCATTTTGAGCCAGGTGTGCTTCGAACTTCATCATAACATGTTGAACTAAGGCTAGCGAAATGCTAGATTCCTGTGGTTTATGATCACAAAGGTTGTCTGAAGATAGCGTTGTAAGGCTTGTCCAGCAAACAGTTGGGGCGCTGAAGTCACTGACTGCGATAGTTCGACATTTCGATGTCCAGCAGCCTAGCTTCTCTATTGGTAAGTCGTCTGCATTGCATTCAGGACTGTGATATGTAGCAATGAGGTCAATATCTTGACCTGTACATTTAAGCCTGCAGCGTGGAATTTCGCACGTTTCACTTTCGTGAGGGAGTGCCTTGGTGCTACGTGCAGTTAAGCATTTCTTGGGGCAGGTGACTACGACACCTCCTTTGTGGCTTAGTTGGTCCGCCCTGTGCACTACGAAGCTTGGCCGTTTAACTTCGCCATCATTGAGATAGGAAGTGAACCGTGTGTCTGTGATAATAATTTAATTGCATGGAGGATTTCATCATGAGTTGACATCAGTTAGAGAACCACTGCGAAATGGTCGCGCTATGTCGTGAATTGGCAGAAGTTAGAATTCAAGGACCATTGGATCGGGTCCCAGTGGCTCAATGGTCTACGAGCTCGCCTTGTGACCAGAAGGTCCTGGGTTCAAATCCCGGTGGGCGCGTACTGATGAAGAGTCCCAAACTAGGACGAAACAGCTGCCCAGTGCTCCCAGCTGGTTTCCCAGTGGTTCCCTAACTGATGTCAGCTCATGATGAATTCCTCTATGCAATTAAACAAAATCCCTACCAAACCAATACTTGAAAATAATAATTTAATCCGAGTTTCTGGAGTCTATCATATTAAGTAGCTCAGTCCATTTGTTCTAAAAGCTACAAGCATTTGTGAAGCGAACTGTTAACTCAGTTTGCTGCTTCCGCAGCCTACCCAGAAAGGTTTCTGGGTCATCATACTTCAAACTCTGGCAACCCAAAACTCTTACTCCTAAGGGTTTTCTCACTGTTTTGGTGCCGTTCGTTTAATTCAAGAGCCGCAGACTGTCATTTGACGTGGTCTGCTAGGCATAATTCGGCACCAGCGTATATGCCTAATCGCCTGAGAGTTTAGGAGTTGCTTAGTATAGCATCCCTCTATTCTTTCGCGTTTAGTACGACGCTGAGAAGGAGTACCGGCTGATTAACTGAAGAGTCAGGCTTTTTCCTGATTCCGTACAAGCAGTTTTTGGTCACAACTCATGGTGCTGTTGGCAGTAGCTTGTCTTGGAGAGCCTTGACCAAATTAAGGTCATTTCCGAACTTGACCTTCGAACTGGCAGCCAGTAGTGCTTTCACCTTGTGGGGAATGAGCGACCTGTCGGAGAGATCAAGTTTCCTTTAGTGTCTTTCCTGCTCTGTGGTGTAAGTGTCTTTTCGTCTTTCGTGAACAATGTGGCCTTTATGGTGTCTTTATCTTGCATTTTGCAACAGACTACATTACGAATCTTGGTATTTGTTGTCGATTGTGTCTGCATGCTATCTACCTGTGGGGATGAAGCTTCATGCACAAGTTAGTGGGTGACCTATTGTACGCCATTTCCACATGCCTGCTTTTTACTACCTACAGCGAAGGGCTTATCGGGTATCATAGGAGCAGCATGCATGTCCGGAATATAGTCAGTGCTCTCCTATGCTGAAAGGCGCTCATTTCCCAGCAGTGATACGTCAGGAACGTGTATTATTTCGTCGATAACGCCAGCCACGCCACCAGTGTCTAAGTGGCAGTCGCTCTTCTCCTGTGGTGGAGGACTTTTGCAGTCCAGGAGATTTAGTGCCCCTTTGAGCGTGACAATGAGTACTGAACTTAGTCACACCGCAGTAGTCATTGAACAGCCACTTAAGGGAAAGGTTCGCAGCAGCGTCTGTGTGCTGCAGTAGTTAGGTTTGTGCACTTGCTGTGAAACCATCTCTTGCAGCTATCACACCGCCTGTCCTCTTCAACTGGGAACTGAAACATAACTCTTCTTCAGCGGTTCCCTTGGATAAGCACGCTTTTCAGTTAGAATCAGTGATATGAAAATCCAGTGAGTGTACAAAGATAGATATGTAAAAACTATTAAGTTATAAGAACACAGTTTCTATGAGTAAATAGACTCAGGACTATACAGAAAACTAAATTTCACTAGACTAAACAGATATGAGGTTGACCTTTAGACTTTTGGAGCGTACGACACAACATAAGCCAAAACTAAACAAGAGCATGTAAAATCCATTCACTTTTCAAAGTTCGCCCAAGTGATACTTGGAATAAGAGAAAGTAATTAAAATTAAAGGGTAATTTATCATTTTATTATGTATTATGTATATTAAATATATTATTATTGTGTATTTTTATAATCGGTGATAAGCTGCTGAAGTCTTACGTTCTGCTCTGGAATTTTTGTGAACAATATATGGCGTGTTACCAATACCATTGCGTAACTGATTACACACTAAACATCACGTTTTCAAAAGCCACATGAGTCTGCCTGAAGGATAAGCATAAAAGACAAGGAGATGCACTAAATGACCCTGTGATTTAATGAGCTAGAAATATTAACTTTGTACTTTAGTGTATGCACAGCATTTAATATTTTCAAGGTCGTTGCTTGTTGACCTATCGTGTGTGATGTCTCATTTATTTTGCTCGAAGTTAACTGTAGAGTCTTACTATGAAAGGAGGTCTTAAGAGTGTTGTAGCTCTGGATCGGTTCTGTAGGGTACTCGAAGAACTTAGCAACAAAGAAAACTTACTTGGAAAGAGAGTGTTTTTATGTCGTTGGTCTCGCGTTGATACTTTTTCCTTGATGATGGGCATGGTATCAATTCTATTGATTGCAATTTCATCGGCTTCATACATAAATTTTTCAGGGTATGTTTGACTTCTGGGTTGTTTATCTTAATAATTGATTCGCAGCTATTCATGGTTTTCTCTCGTTGGAGATACCATATTTGTCCTATGTTCAAATTTCGTTTTCTTTATCACCATTTTTATAAACCACAAAAGGGTTTATTCATTTCGTACGAGATATAAAATTCTTTTGAATTCAACTGTTGGTTACATCAGTAAGTACGTTCACATTATAATCCATTTACAGGAAGTCTGGATCCTGAAACCCTTTGCTACTCCTCGAACATTTCTGGGAATCAAATTGTCGGTTTAGATGCTCACATCACTATCCGTGATGCGAAACTTGTAGTTTTGCCTGCCATCTTACTGGTTCCTGGTGATGTCATCCTTATCAAACCGGGTCAGACTATATTCGCTTTCTGCAAGCAGTTAAATTCAAATGAAGTACCTGTGACATTATTTGTTGACGTTTGATTGTAGAATTCTCGTGTGTTTATACCTGGTGATATTTTTGTTCCACGGAAACTCAGCTGTAATCTCTCACCTACTTTAACTGCCTCTGCTGAAGAATCAGACAAACCTATGATGGCTATTGTCACACGTTCTCCACTGACTTCATACCTTGAAATTGCTTTAAGTTCAAACAAGAAAAAGAAATGCACCCCGCAACCCCTTTCTTGCAAAGTTCTGCACAGTGCTGTTGCAGTCTCCGTGATCATCAATATTACTATCACTTTTTCGTTTCTCATTTCAACGTTTATTATATTTTGCTTTCATGATATCCGTGAACCAGGCTTTCGAATAGTAATGTGGTTTATCCGTACACTTGGAGTCCTTACCACTTCTTCGTCAAGTTTTTTCTTCTGCTTAATATGGATGATTGCTATTTCCATTTCTACACTTCGATTTCAACATGTGCTCTCAAACTTTCAGAATCTACTTCAGTCATTTGATAGCGACGAGGTTAGTTGTTTGTATTCAATTGATCAGCCTAAAGTATCCTGCATTTCCCATCGAAATTCGTCGAATTCCAGCCCAGTTATTGCCAGTTTTCGTTCATTTTGCTCCATGGTATGTGAAATGATTGATATTTTAATCAAGTTTTGAAGTCTTCTTTGGTTAATTCAGTGAATCAATTTCTTTAGCAGCTAGTAGTTATGATGAACGTGTTAATAATAAGCGACAATATGTTCACTTAATTAGCAATCACAATAAAATGGATAAAATAAACAACATAGAATGTTTCAACATTTATTTTACATTCTAGCAATGTATTGTTGATGGTTATCATCCCCCACGATATTAAATTAGCATGACTTATGACTTAAAGCACGACTCAGTTATAACATGGGATTTGTACATGAATGTTTTCAAAAATAACGGTTTTCTGCTAGTGTTATGAGGATAATTTAATTCTTCATTTTCTAGAATTTTATTATGAAGCAGTAGTGCTTATCGGTTTAGTAAATCAGCTGAATACACTTATAACAAACAAGCTCAAAAATCTCTGTGTCGTACTTATGTTGTGCATCAATGCGTGTGAAGTTTCAGTGACAAGTGAAAAACAATTTCACTATTATCATACTTTCACTGGCTTCATTTTGTGTACAGTTTTTAACTTCTGTGAATAGGAGCAACACATAACGCTTAACTGTTATTCAAGACCGAATACTCGAATATCTAGGTCAATATTGCGAATGTGTCAAATGAGTTACAATATAAAGTAAGGCTAACAGGTCGCTAAGTGGCTGAGATTTTCGAATCTCCGTAAGTGCCACTGACAGTCAACTTCTGTAGCCTATGTACTCAATCAGGATAAATACCAGAGTGCGAAAGCAATATAAATCTCCCTCGAACCTCTTACTATCGACGTCTGCACATCGTGTAACTACTTTATTCATACTCAGCGAAAGATTTATCAACAATCATGTAAAGTTTGCGTAATAGTAAAACAGCTTAGAGTGATTAACTGTCAGAGTGGAAAATTGTTGGGATGAAGAGATTTTTAAGTGTCTTGGGAGTTTCAAAGAATAGGATTTTAATTTACGTGACTAATTCAAAATATGGTAATTTCGAGTGACGATATACAATTTGTTCATTTTTACCTCTGGAGATTTTAGTTATAATTACTAGTTTAGTGTCTTTTTATTTCCTGGTTTAGTGTAATCATACACTTCTATTTCGGTTTATCATCTATTTAGTGGGTGTAATGATAAATTGTCTTATAGATGATCTGAGCACCTTAATGTCAATATGGAAAGGGACTAAATGTTTTTGTCGTTTTATTATTGTAGTTCTGTCTTCAGACATTTGTCGACCTGGAGAATATTTTACTTACTTTGGGTACACTGAGTTCTGTGTGCTGTGTCAATCAAGAAGGTGTTATAAGTCAGCCTCTGCCAACACCTGAAAAAGTGTTCTTTTTCCACAGACGCCATCATCACCATCATTTTCAAGAAAACTACAGCACATATAAGTCGCAAACTCCAATTTCCAAACGAAATTTAACTGAGCAAGGCTATTCATGTCAGCAGTGTTCCAGGTCTGATCAGTTTAATACGCCAACTTTTCCGCGTACAGCCAAACACGTAAGTGTTGCTTTTTCCTTTTTATTAAACTTTTATTTTGAAGTATTGGTTTTCAGGAATTTGTTTAGTTACAGGTTTGATCAAATTTCTTTCTACTACTAATAGTACTGACATTTCCGGCGATCCTACGTTAGTAGTCTTTTTTGCCAGGGATAATAACACTTGTATGGGATTCTGTATGCATACATTTTATTCTCGATTAGCAACCACTTTATAAATTACTTATTCACCTGGTCACTTAATATTCATTTCCTATTAAATCAATTTTTAGAATGTACTGGGCATTTCACTGGAAAGTTCTCGTTACGCGTGCAAGTAGAGTGCTGCTTTTGGTTAGGGGCTGCACGTTAGGTTATACAATTCTCAGCACCCTCGACAGAATATCAGTGCCAGGTTTACTAATTTATGTATTATTGGCGTTCGACTACCTCGAATTCTATAACTGACCAGTCCATAATTAACAACAACAAATTAATCTTAAATCAAAAATGTTGTGACGCTTCTATTCAAAACAAATGATTACTGGACTTCTGTGAATATACCCTTAATTGTTCATGATCTGGTGTTGGTAACTGAAAGCTAACTCTTATTTTCAGGTTTTCTTTTTAATAAATTACTATTTTCTGCGAATACAGCTGTACTTTTATTCGTGCATCATATAATGAATATATTTAGGTTTAAAACAATAAACGGTGAGTTGTGTTCTCGTCACTTAGTCAAAATACCAAGTTGTACACACATATCCTTATCTGGGATTCTCAGGCGTCAAGTTGTGCATATATTTATTCGAATCACTGTCACTATTTCAATAAATGACTTTTCCAGTTCAATTAAATTTTGATTTAGTCCTCGCGTACGCATTTCTGAAAGGTCTCTTGAAGAGAACTTCAGATACGTTTTTCGCATTTCAGTGTCCTTAAGGGCTTAAACTACTGATATATACTTGCTGAATAGAGCGAACCAAAGTTTGAAGTGGTTTCGCTTGTCTAATAATCAATTCATGTGTTCTAATACTTTATGTTAAAACCTAGTTTATACGATTTAAATTGCTAGTGTGATGATCCGTGTCAAAGGGAGATCAACAATGTCAAAAATTTAGTTCATAAAAACGCTGATGATCCTGGTGAAACTCCTTCCTTCCAAAGAAATTCCTCTCTCCAGCTGAGCAATAACGTCATGCCAGTGGTTCTAAACTTCCGAACTGATTTCCGTCATCCTTCTGGATCGCATTTTGAAAAGCCACGTTGGGATCGTTTCATATCGTCGCTTAAGCCTATTGGTTTGTCAATTCTTCTCAACAACTGTCATTCTTCTGTTAAAAAGCAGCGTCTTGGTTTCTTTGACAGTGTAAATGCAATGCAAAAGTATTTCATTTCATCATCCTGCATCAGTTCGTTACCTCTTTCCTTCTGTTTGTGTGGTCTTGCTAGTCAGATAGGATTTCGTGATGGAGCTGTAAATGGTTTTATGGCTGACGGATGTCTTGGAGTTTATTCATTTTGTTCAACTGCACATGTTACTGATAGCGAAAGCTCTGATGATAACGCTTCACATAGTGGAGGCATAAATGACGTACGTGAAATCATAATGTTTTCGTTTTCTAATAATTCTAATGTGTTTTTATATTTGTGTAGTTTTTCTATACAAGGATGAAGTTAATTCACTGTCCTACTTTTGAAGAATTATTATGGTTGTCTCGAATCTTACCTATGGTTGTAGACCGTAACGGAAAGTAAATTGTTTCAGGAAAACAAAAACAATGCCGAAGAAAAGGAAATAATATGCACGAGTTTAAGTGACGGTTGTTCTGCTTTAGTCAAATCAATTATAAAGCATCTGGTTGTGACTTCTAAACAATTATTTCCAGAAGTCTATAAAATGCTGTCCGCCGTCATTCTTATCCTTATCTACATTAGGAGAATAGTCACTAAAACAGTTAACTGATTTCTTGTTTCAAAGTGATGCGTGTATCTGTTTGAACTCCAAATTATATGACACTCGAAAATGATATATTTAAGTATGTTATGCTTGTTTCATTATTATTATTGACTGGAAGCTCACAGTAAAAATCAGGTGTTTAATTTTTGTAAAAAACCTTGACCCATCAACATAGAACTGCACATAAGTACATCAGATTATGTTGCTTCACTTTCAGAAGCACACATGAAGGATAGAGGAAAAAATACAATAGAACTACAGTGCGGCAGCAGAAGTAATCAGAAAATTAGTATTGGCTTCAAATATCTGGATGATAACAAGGAAAGAATACAGCTGCACTGTTTTTGTCTTGAGTCATATCACTAATCGTCTAGGACCACTGATTGTTAGCATCTTGAGTACCCAGATCATTTAGTCTGAGACAATAGTCAGTTACTTCATGGATTGTTACCACATTGTAATTTGACCATCCCTATCTCTTTACTAAACTAGCCATATTTCGGCTTAAATTGCCCATGGTGGATGGTTGTGGTTAGGCATGAGTATAACAGATGCCCTTATCGTCTCAGTCGATTAAATTTCAAAACCTAGTAGATTGATCTTCTGTCCTTGCCTAGAGCTTTACATCCAGACTGATTGTTACTGAACATATTTCTCCATCTACCACCAGGTACTGAATGGGGTAAATATGGAAAAAAAACTACCCAACTTTTCATATCTCTTCCATCTTGAAGTGGAATGTAAAGTATAGCCAACTACTGCAAAATACATGCACCGTTCGACGGGGGTAGTTGAATATATCATGCATTTACCAAAGGTGACGCAGGTGGTAAAATACCAAACTAATATTTTTTTATCTGTACCGAAACTTAGCATTTAGTCCATTGGGTTTGATGCAACACTTTCCATATGAACGTTATGCTTGGTGCAAACCAGTCTTATTGCATCATCTGACGTTTGTTTTTGGATCGAATCTCATGCCAAACATACTCATATGTTTGCTCAAGTTGTTTTTCGTCAGCGTCTTCACTTAAGAGGATTGATTTTAGTGTGCGTAGTATAAATCAATCAGACTTTTTCCCGGTAGTTTCCAAACTGTGTGATATTGAAATCAATCAACCAAAGCTCAATCTTGACTAAATCATCTTTTTTTGCATCTAGTCAGTATCAAGCACAAGAATTTTGATACCTTCATACGACACTTTGTTTTACCATTGTGAACTAGTTTCAGAAGTATAAGGTTTTTGATGCTATTAGTGCAACGTAGTGTTGAATATTATGATTTTTTAAGAATGGTAATGTGTATATGTTGTTGCTGCTCAAGACTGTCCAATAGTCAGTTCATTCACGATTGCAGATGTTTATAATTTCAACAGGATCTGCCTCATCGTAATGGAACTTTAACTTACACTTGGTCCAAATCACCTTTGGTTGAAGGAAAGATTATGCTTGTTTATACCAAGCTAGGATGATCAGCATGTGATTTACTTTGGTTCCTAAGCTAACCACTTAACTATAAAAATAATAAGAATGATGAAAATCGCACTGTGTTCGGCTGCTTTTAACGTTTCATCACTAAATTCACTAAGAAGTAAGGCACATTTACAAATAGCATGAATATTTTGTTATTGCTCTTCGTAAATTCTGAACTTTCTTTGGATTTTTAATTCAGGAGATAGTTACTTGTCACATAACGTTCTGATTTTAGACCCTTTTAGGCTATATGAGAACTTGTTATTTATTTCGGTACAAATTTGTGCTACCCATGTATTGTGATTTATTTTTACAATTATCTAACAAATCCTTAAAAGTGCTACTCAAACCAGCAAGCGTTTAAATTTCCATGCATTCGGAAATGAGTCACACCTATTATAAATGGTCTAATAATACCATTGTGACTACTTGGCTGCCCAATTCTCGGTAGTATGAGTGGGGTTGAAACCTGTAAACCCAGTTATTAGCAGTTGAGCGTCTACGGTTTGTGGGATAAATCCCCCCTCCTTAGGAATATGACACACTTTCTAGATTTTCATAAGGTAAGAATGATAGGCTGATTGTTTACTGTTTTCCTATATTTTCAAAATGAACTTTATACTAATTGTTTATCTTTAATTTCCATTTGATCTAGAATCGAATTCATTTGGGACATTGTTTCAGTGCCGTTTTTTCTAATATGAACACAGAAAACAGTTATCAGTTGCTCTCTCAAGGCACCGGTGATATCCTAGTCAGTTTGTGTTCTGACATCTGGGATGGACGTGATATCGTACCATTGTCGGAAAGTGAACGTGAACTTATCTTGGGATTCCATAATCGCCACCTGTCATCTGCATACTGTATTGGATTCGCGTATTCACCTTTGGTCGATAAAGCTAGTGAATCATATAAATCTTTGTTGAATAACCTTTCTGATTCGAAAGACATTCTAATGCTTCGTTTGCCAGGAGTAAGTAATAGTCCAGTTTAGGCTGGTGTGCTCTTTTCTGTAGTACTGGTTTTAAGATATGTATATTTAAGGAAATTCATATTCTACTATGACTGAACACTGCATACTGCTATTCACCAGATGCAGATGTCGCCGTGATTATACCATTGTTAAAAAACTTTTAAATTTCAGTGGTCAATGGCCACCACAAATGTAAAGTACATAATGGGGATGTTCACATTAATTTGGAAGGGTTTTTCTTTCTTCATGCCTCTTGATAATCTGAGCTGCCAACGGAAAAATCTCATTTGCTACGATATTCAAATCAAATGGCTTTTATTATTACTACTTTGGTGTGTACGCTGTAACTCCTTTTAAAATGTGGTAATCCGCATATACCATGATATCTTATCGAGACGTATTTCTCATCTTGCACCTCCAAGACCTTGACACAAAAGTCTTATTCTAACTTGCACAGGAGTAACTCCCGCGGCATTACCCTGAGTCGGTCATGTTTCAAGTATGAGGTTGTATAGGATTTGTGGAGCACTGGCTTTCTTCTTACTTATCTATATGCATTATTGTTATTCGTCCTTTGAATTCCGAGTGAAACACAGAGCTTCAGCAGCACACTGGACTGTATTCTATTTCCTGCAGTCTATTTCAGCTGGTTGCAAGACTGTCTACAAGTTTTTGTTCCCTCCTCACATGAACTCCTGCATGTCATCCTTGAACTCCCAACTTGGCTCCATAATGGATAAGATTTTATTTTGATAAATCACACAGTGTAGTACAGTTATATTAACAGTTAATATAACTGTACTACACTGTGTGATCAAAATAAAATCTTATCCATTATGGAATTATACTCTACCACAGTGCCCAAGTTTTATACTTATATCAATTTATCCCAACTTGGCGTTTCCTATTCGGGTTCCACTCGACGGCCTGGCTTATGATATCGCTCAACAGTCTCCTGAGTGTATGTCCAACCCATCTCCATTTTCTTCTGCATATTTGTCGCCCAATAGCTTGTTAGTTGCCTGGCTGCCAGAGTGCCCTATCGCTTATCCTTCCCGTCCGACCAGCCATACGATCTTCAGATTCGAGTGGAGGTAGCGAATTTCGATGAAAGTCTACTCTGCATATCTCTTAACCGCATAGAATCGGTGACTAACTTAACACATGAGTTGTGAAAATTCGGAGGTCTTCCCTCCACAGTGATGTGAGAGTGATGCACGCCTGTCTTATTTTCGCAAATGGATACTAGGTGGCTTTCTGGCTTTGACATTGTCATCCGTACTGCGTGTGTAGTTGAGGCGACGGATGGTGGGCAGGTGAGTGAAGGAGACGACTTTGTTTAGATTTCTTGTGTTGATGTTGATTGGTGTTTGTAATTATTAGTTGGGTCGTGTATCTGTGTCTTCATCACCTATGTCTCCTGTGTGTTAATCTGGAGTGCTGTGTTTGTCTCCCTCTTCTGCCATCTTGTTGGTTTTTGCTTGTGTGTTCGAGTTTGTTCCACACGAAACAAAAATCATCGGCGAAATCCAGACTTTGCAGGGTCGTTTTCTCGCTTGGATGTATAGTCGTGGTCTGACTATGTACGACGGGTGTTCTGCATGATGTCGTTGGCTGGAATTAGGAGGAATATTGGTGATTGTAGACACAGGCGTATCTTAATCGTCTTTTCACTTCACATGTTTGTGTGGGGATTTCGTTGTGAATTACTTGACATGTTGCATCACCACATACCTGTGCTTGAAGTTCCTAGCGGTTCTGATGCATATCGTGGCTTTTGTTAAGTTTATGGCCTTCATATCCTATGTTTTTTTTGGAGGTGTGTTGTTCGCCAGCATCTGTGTGTCTGTTGGTGGCATTTCTGGATGAGATATAGATGGTGGTGGATGACAGTGTCCCATGAATTATTCTATTAAGGAAGTAATAACGAACTTAACTTTGTGCACTTATGCTCAATAAAATGGTTACTACCTATTCTGTGAAAGCTATAGGAAGTGTATAATAGTTTGTGCTAATACTGAGAAAGCTCAACGCTTGAATTGGAATGCAAGTTACTGTCCTAGTAAATCTTCAAATATTTCTCAAATGGAATAGTTATAGTGTGGATTTAAAGCGAAGTTCCACTGGCTAAAAGTCCGGTAGTTTAGTCATGAAACATACTTTGTGTTAGTTAATGCCGTTTCACTAAATGACGTTTCAAAAGCGTCACCTGATTACTACATATATGCATAATCAACGTAAATGAGAATACTAATACTTTTCTTTTTACTAAGATACCAGTAAAGCTTCTGATTTTCCTTTTTTTAATCCTTTTTTTATATTCCGAAGTCGGAAAACATTTCACCACTGTTACAAAGAAGTCCCGCCACATGCACAAATTTTGATAATGTAAATCGAGGTTTGCTTTCACTATCTCATGATGTTGGCAGTAATGAGGACAACCATAATGGCGTTACTCCCAGCGAAATTCCCATAAAATTCCAAAATATAAAGAAGTCAAGTCAACGAGACGTCAACAGTTACCCAAAAGTCATCAATAAAATGAGAAAGGCCAGTCTGTATTCTAATTCAAACTTTAAGAAGTTAAATACAAACCAAAAAAGATCTCAGTCTACAGGTGATAAGGACTTTACTTCTTTTCTGGCTAAACGGAATATTTCGGATAATCATGAAAAGATTAAACTCAACCCAATTAACATGGATGTCAATGATTGCTTCGACGAATATCGTACTGATTCAATTGCAAATGAACTTCCTAGGACAAAATGTGTTCCGGAGGGTGATATCTACTGCGAAACCAGTGATGCAAACAATGAAGAAAAGTAAGCCAATCAAAAGTCTTCTTTAGAACAGTAGCCTACAGTACATTCTCTTTGTGCAGTAGTTATTTGAGCAGGGAACTGTAAAAGTGTCTTCGGTTTATCAAAATTTCTAGCGTTTTTTTTGGTTTTAGAGTCTCATGGATATCATTCAGATTACCTAAATTTTGGGAATAAATTCAGTGGATTTGTGCGTTTGTATGTGTGTGTGTGTGTGGCATAACTGTATTTGTTTAGTGACCGTGGAAGATGCTTAATTAACTACTGTCAACCATTGATTGATTCCAACGAATATAAACCAATGCTTCTTAAAGTGTGAAAAAGTCTGTAGACCTTAAAAGGAGAACATCAGTGCCCAAATACACCATCTGACTATTGATTACTTCAGTTCTTTGACCATGCGAGGTGCGAAAAATCTTTGGATCACAGATTTCAGCTGAATTGGTATTCAGTAGAAAATGAAACTCAGAATTCGAATCACGAAGAAAAGCGGCATCAACTAGTACCTGAGTTGGTGATTTTGCCTTCAGTCTGTTACATGACATTATGCTGCTTTTGAAAACAAGTCAAAGGAAACATTTACGACTTTTCTGAGATTACCCACTAATATTTTTTCCCTGAATTTTAGGGAGATGTCCACATAGCTTGGCATTTGAACTGTTGTCATTCAGGTCCGCAGCCAGAAGCGTAATGCAGATGTTATTTGTGCACCAATTAACTGAAATGCTTTGGATTTAAATGATGATTGCAAAATACTCGAAGTGGAACTTTATGTCTAGCTAATAATAATAATAGTTTGCTTTATTCCAAAACAGTACATGTGATACATAATGGAATTCTCAGCATTTTTACTATAGTATTGTATCCAGTTAGTACATTATCAATAAATAAAATTCTACATAGACTAAGGAAATCTCAGTTCATTATGACAACAACATATTGGCATGTCGGTAGCAAAGGTAAAGCTTGACAGTGTTTGAAGGTGTTAGAAAAGTAGGAGCTGTTATATTTACTGGCGTAAGTGAGAGAAAGAAAGAAAGCAGCACATAACGGAAAAAGGAGAGAGAGAGAGAGAAAAGGAAAAGAAAGAAAGAGAATGTTGTACCTATAAATGATGAGTTGGAAAGACGAGATCCAGTTGTACTACTGACTATTTAATGAATTATAGGTATGACGCCTAATGCTTTCTTTATCACACAGAACACGAGCTAAGTAGGGTATGGTTGAGTTTTTGTACTTGCTGGTGCGAGCATATAGTTTTCTATATAGGCTTCTGGTTTTACCTGATGAGATGCAAGGGAGAGTTGTGAGTGAAGAGGGTGATGTGAGTTAGATAAAATGGACTTAGCCCATTTTTCACATGAGTCCATGTGCCTGTCAACCAGAATATTAACAAGCTGGTTAAGTGGCACGTTGCTTACCCTGCTGACAACCTTTAACATCCTGCGTAATACGTTATAGTCTTTCTTCAGTAGCCCGGGAAAAACTACGGAGGAACAATAGAGAATAATAATAATTATTATATCCAAACACGCAGGAAATTCTACTGAAGTGAAAATTGTGTGTAGGAAATAATTATTGCATAACAGTAGTCTGTTAGATTTGTCTAACCCACTAGACAGAATGCAACAACTGTCTCTCCGGTTCTCATGTAAATATCCTGTCTCTTACTTTTATACCTACAAGCAGTTGTTTATGCCATAAGTATTTCACTTTGAAAAACAGTCTTTTGCTTTTGAGAGACTGATAAATGACTTTTGTGATTACTTTTCTTTCCTCTTTTTGTTATCTTAGAGATGATTTGTACATCGATCCAGAAGAAGTGAGAAGCATACTGAACAATCAAATATTTCTAGGTTTAATAAGTATGCAGTATCAAGCGAATCCACAAGTTGTCAAAACTATTAAACAACTGCATCAAGCTTGCATTCGATTTGTGCATTTCTCTCGAGTAAGAATGTATATATGTATATATACATATATATATATATATATACATATATATATATATTGGGGTCTCTTTCTTGTTGTTCAGTCTCTTTCATTATTATTTTGTATTATAACTATTATGATTATTCCCTTAGTTTCTGAGCGGAACACAACAGATCTCCATTTCATCCTATTTTCTGCAATCCTCCTTAGCCGACTCCACTATTGCCCGTAGGCTCTCATTTCCTCCTCACACGATCTCTTCGATATCACCCTCTAACGCCCAACTCATCGTTTCGCGTTCAGGTTCTACTAGAGAGCCTGACGCATGATGTCATTCAACGGTCTCCTCAGCGTATGTCTGATCCATCTCCATTTCCTTCGGCATACTTGTTGGGTAATAATAGGTTCTTGGCTGGTTCGTTGCAGGATATTCTTGTTGCTAATCCGTTCTGGTCATTCGATCTTCAGTATGGAGCGAAGGCAGCTACTGATGAAGGTTTGACACTCCAAGTCTATGAACTATGATAAAGCACTGACTTGATATTAGCCTTGAAAATCGAAATCTTGTTCTTCATGCTTCGTGCGTTGGTTTACCAAACTGATTTCAGAGTAATAAGGCACTGTCTCGACTTTCCAATTATGGTTTACAAATCCTTATTTGTGCCGCCTGTAGTTGAGATGTGATGCTGCCTTGGTTAGTGATAGGAGACACTTCCTTCAAATCTCTTCCATTGAAAGTAATTTTTACTTGTTGTTGTTGGTTAAATATCTTCATCACCTCTGTCTTCTCCATGTTCGGTTGAAGTCCTGTCTTTGATGTTTTTTCTGCCAACTTGTTGGTTTTCGCCTGTAGATACAAGTCGTCCGAGAAGTTTAAAACACTTAGAGTCTTCTTGTCGACCGAAGGAGACTCATCGTGCTGAAGTTTCTGCAGCAACTTTGTTTACAGGGTGGAGTTGCTAGTCTTACGCCTGAGAAGGGGGTTGTTACATTAATATATAGTTTAAATACGACGGTAAACAAGTTCAAATTACGTTACACGTTTTGCTTTATTGAAATGTAACATTTTTAAAATATATTTATTAACTGGGGCACATTGCTTTATCATTGAACATACATGTTCTTTTTTAACACCGTGTTCAATTGAATATCCTCGTTTGGAATAGTATAACTGAAGTTAGAGATGTGAAAATTTATTATAAGATAACTTGCTGCACCTATTTATATACAGATCACTATTTCCCATCTTCTTGTTAACAGTTTGTAGAATACAAGCCTTAAATCGCACGCCTTGTAGGGTCATTCAAAATCCATTTTTACTGAGTAGTCAGAATTGTTTCTTAGTGATGCCAACTGGTCTCGACATTTATACACTTATAGTTCATTTAGCATTAAAATAAACTCTACGGGTTGTTAATTGACTCATGTGAATATTGAAAAAGCAGTATTAGAGCGGCGAAAACTCAGTACTTTTCATACATAGACTGACTGATGAGTTAACGTATAACTTTGCACAAGACTACATTAGTTTGTGTGGCCACATTTTGAAGAAACATATAGAAAAATTAACATTACCATGATGACTGTACAATAGAAATGAAGCCAGCTTCATGAATACAATAATTAAATGAGGGTTATTGAAGATTTTATGCTGGATAAGGTGAAGGGATGAATACATCTGCGCTATTGTGCACGATTTTAGTCGATTTCATACACGGTCTCCAACTTCTGATGATTCCTAGAATTGTCCTGACCCTAAGTTGGCAATCTACACTCCTTATGTAACACAGTGACTTCATGGATTTGTCTTATGTTTTTGTCTAACCAAATTTAATTCTTCTAGTCTAACTTCAAATTATATTGCTCGTCGAGGAGCGCAGTAATTCAACATGTGCAACACATCCTAACCATCACAATCCATGGGGCTTCATGACGTCATCCGTTGGATTCACTGCATTAACTAAAACTTTATGCCTCAGTCCATTATTACTTATTTTATTACCGCTTGCACTGTCAGCGAATAAATGGAGAAATCCATTCGCAAAACATGTAGTCTTTTCATATCTCCTACTTTCAGAGACCATGCCTTATTCACAATTAAGAACAGCATGAATTGCTGCCCAGTGCACATTGCCGTTCGGTGGGCACCGAAATATTTCGCCTATATCAGCGGAGTTTTTTTGTATATGTCATGAAATTTCGTAATTAACCAGTCCACAAGGGCAATGTGGTGCAATGTCCTTAAAATATGAGCCACACAAATCAGTCCTGCAGCAGCATACGTCATCGCACATTTGTGACGCAAACTACATGAAAAAAGTATACAAATTTGAGATCAGGATTGAAAAAAAACGCTATCTTGTTTCAGCGTCTTTGCTTCACAAGACTATATCTTCTGGGCTTTCAAGATCAATAGTCGTCTAGCAGTCGTAGTAGTATTGATTTCATACTCAAATAAATGTTTAGTTCACTCCATGATATCGAGAGTTATCAACTGCTATAATGTCTCTCTTTATATTTAAAGTCAGTGTTGACCAGAAAGAAGGGATTATTAGAACAAAGTTGTACGAGAATATCCAATCCTTTTGTGACATCAGACGTGATGAACATTTGAAGTCTTCAAAAAATCCACTTTACTCACTTCATTAAGATTTCAGTTCAAGTATTGTATTACATGCCTTCCAAAGCAAACTAGCTAACACTTTAATAAACAGCATGATCATGAGATGTGAATGAATTTTTACAATTGCTTTAGATTGGTTGTCGCATGAACCTCCTCTGTTCAATAAACCATTGAAAGAGACTAGAAGAGGAAAATGGCATGTAAGATAGTTTGTTGGAACAACGGTAGGTAACAGAGAAATCCACTGCTGTAAATCAAAGTAAACCAAATGTATAAATAACATTGATTTATTACAACAGTGCATCATTTGGTTAGAAGAGAAGTTTTCTTTTCTATGTTACTGATTCCCATATCTCCCAATTATTTTTCTCACTGTAAGATTTTTTAGGGAGAGAAAGGGAGACTATGTGTTGTGGAACATGAGGTTGTCATAGAAAACTAGTAGACGGGAAGCTGTGGTCTTACGTTTCCCACTTTTTTTATTCCTTTACGCTCCCAATGGAACATAGGGCATCAAGCTAGAGTCTTGAAGTTTCGGTAGAAGTGGTATTTTTATGGACTGGGGTTGCTAGCCTCATACCCAACCTTCCCTCTTTACCAGACTTATTACTGGATTAGCGAGTTAAAGGAGTGCGTCGGCTTTGGATAGAACCCCGAACCACCTAGATGGTTGGCGAGCATTCTACCACTGTGGCACCGACGCATCTTCCCGCCAATAAGATGTCCGCAGTCTTGTCTGTTCATTTACTGCCACTTTAATATTATAAAGCTGCTCTTGATTGTTGGCTTTCATTAGTCGTGTAGACTCAATTACACTAGCTAGACAGGTTTTCAACTACCTAGTGCAGTATGGATATCCACTTATACGACATTGTATTCCTTTTAGGCATGTTTTTATTTGTCTTTCTTGAGAAGGTTGTTACTTTTTTTCTTTATGTAACTAATGTTCTTGTCCCATTTTGCAAAAGATTTGCTAATCACATGAATTAAGGATCTTATTTAACGTTAAGTGTTTACTTACTGTACTTTAGGAAAATGAACTTCGAAGTCGAGTGTTTGCGGAACGTCTTGGTTTAGAATGTGGTTGGAATTGCCATATATCACTTAGAAGTCCTGACTGTCATAGTGATTATAAATCATCTTATCAAACCAAAGAACGCAGAAGTAATCGCATTTCAATTGTAACTAATGAGTTTGTTTCCAGTAGAAAGAAATCTGCTAGTAAGTAATTCATATAAATTCAATAAAATGTGAGTTTTAATCTCTCTTATTTGTAATATCTTACTCTACTGTTTTTATCTATTTAAGGTGCTCGTCCGTTAATTCGATCTGCAAGTCTTCCTTCACTATCGACGTCACATTCCTTGGTGAGCCGTTTGTTTATTCAGTTATTATTCTTATTTTTTGAAAACGTTTAATTAACCTTTCATTGTTTTCATAAACTGATTTGACAAGTAAATGTCTGATCTGATTATTCGAAAAGTGTTGCGCAAATACATCAAATTTTTCAGGTAAATCACGTTTTGAATAAAACGAGGACTACAGTTTTTGCAGAATAAAGTGGTACTATCATTTATTTCGTTGCCTTCTCATCAGCTGCTTATAGGCCATATATATATGATATTAAACACCATTCCGAACAATAGTGATCATACACAATAGAAACTTTCGACATTACGTAATCAGATGAAAGAGAGGTGAAAATATCCAGTTACTAGGGTAAAGAAAGACTAATAACTGTTCCTTTCTGAACGCACAAATCAGGTTTTAGGCATTTGATGGAGATGGCTTCAGCAAAATTGAGGAGAATTGAACTCTTTTCCCTGTTGATAATTTTGAACGTTTTTGCGACGTCCACCTCATGATGCGTGTCAAGAAGATGTCTGGCGATGGCACTGTTGAAAGCATTTGTTCCCTTTAGACATAAACGTTTTGGTACATGTTCAGAAAATCGTAGATATGCCCTTCTTTCTGTTCTTCCAATTTAACTGCTCCCGCAGATACATGTAAATTTGTGTATACAGTTGGAGTTAACATGAGAAGGATATCTGTCGACCTTTGACTGCGCCAAAGAGCAAGTTGTTCGATAGACGGGAACGAGCTTAGCTACAGGATAGGCTCTGGCTAGTGACGTACTCAGTCTTCTGTTGACCATTGCTGCAACGTTTTCATCTTTATAATCAAATTGAATATAGATGGGATTTTTCTCCACTGTGATTTGTCTTACATTTTAGACTTCAGATCTTCCATACTTGTTAATGAAGCTTTGAGGGTAACCATTGCTCTTCAGCATCTCTACGAGAAATATAAATTCTTCCTCTAATTTCTCTATAGATCATATTCTCCTCGCTCTATAGTACAGAGTCTTGACTAGTCCGCTTTTAAAGCTATCTGGTCAGAAACTATTAAAATGTAAGTATTGTCCTTTCCAAGTAGACTTTCGATAAATTGACTTCTGAAGACTACTGTCTTCTAGGCGTTGCATAGCAATGTCGAGGAAGTATATATATATATATATATATATATATATATATATATATAATGCATATATATAATGCATATATTGATTGATTTTCGTTTAAAATGAACTCTGTGCAAGTATGTTTAAATTGTTTCTGTAGATATACTTAATAATGACTGTGGCCTGTAAGCAGCTGATGAGAAGGCAACGAAATAAGCAATGATGGTACCACTTTATTCTGCAAAAACTGTATTTTTCGCTTTATTCAAATTCATTAAGGGGAATAAATGTATAAAATCCCATTTTATAATTACGCTATCCAAAAATTTATTCAGTTTCCATTATCTAATTGTCTACAGGCTTAACTTAACACAAGTTGGATTGGAAAGCAGGTATGACTGACCAGAGTATTATTTAAGCAAATATATATTAATCAGTATAGTGTGCTAATGTCTATTGTCCACCCCCTCTTCTTTAGTCTTCGTTCCTGAGTACAACGTCGGCTGTGTAATTTGCCTATTGTTCTTGCCATCATCAGTTACATGGCTAAAAGACTGTCTTATCAGAGCAGATGCATTCATTTATCCCTCTTTCTAAGCTTCAGTATCACATATACCCTTCTTTGTTACCTCCATCAATTAACTCTTGAACGGTACTCCTCTATTTTTTTAATTTCCATCATGGTGAGCTGATTTTCATGGTTTCAACTTGAAAAGCCATGCAATGATAATAGGGTGGCCTTGTATCGTCTGTTTCTCTCTATGTTCTTAACTGAAATGTGGTCTTAGCTTCAACACCGCAAAGTCATTATTATTTATCTTATTATTGATTCTGTGGATTTCGAGTGGGGAACAGGGCTTCGGTGGCACACTGGTATTGATTGCACTCGGTCTTCTGCCGCCATTTTTAGCTGGCTTCACAACTGTCCACAAGATTTAAATCCAACTTCACATTACCTTTTCTGTTTTATCCTCAAACACCCAACTTGGCGTGATAAGCCTCTCCTGCCATATTGTTGGTTTTTGCTTGTATGTCCTGAATCGCACTATTGCTCTACGTAATAATATCGTCTTAGAGATTAGTTTATATTTGATGGCTGAACTTCAAATGTATGGAACGCATTACTGTCAACAGATAACAGACACAGTTTCTAAGTGGTCTGAAAGGTAGTTTTAAACCGCTTAGTTTGCACTTTGAGCAAGACTGATGTGACTGACCCCTATACCGAAAATATTCATTCAAACATCTATAAAACACAAAATAATTGAGCAAAGAATATCCTTTTCGATAATTTCCTCTTCTGGCCATCTAGGTTTGAATGGTCCTAAATTTTTGTGGAATTTTCCTAATTTTAGTTAATATTCTATTTGCTATTATAACTTTACTATTATTATAATTTAAGCATCTTTGATGAACTGTAATTCTATTGATCTTACTTAACAAATCGATATTGTTTAAAAAAGACTAATATTGTTATTGACTACTAATTTAGAATACTCTCTCTCTCTCTCTCTCTATATATATATATATATATATATATATATATATATATATATATATATATAATTGTAAGGCCAAAAGAGGAAATAATCGGAAAGGATATTCTTTGCTCAATTATTTTGTGTTTTATAGATGACCCATATACCTTGAAGGTTATGCAGTTAAGTGACCGTCGTTTCATCTTTTGTCTCTTAATTCAAGGATCATAATAAACAGTCTCATTAGTATTGTGAAAGGTGCTAGGAATAGAAATTTGAGCGTTAGGACTTTTTGCATCTGGTGTTATGATACTGCGACTACAGCTCAGCTGGGTGATTTTGGTGTGGTGTTGTGTTCTCTGAACTCGGTTGTTTTGACCGAGAAGCTTTCGTTGTCTTTCTAGACAACATCTTCAGCGCAGGTTTCAGTATGAAGTGAACTTATGTGAATTTTTTTTTCCTTCACGTTCCCCACTGGAACATAGGTCTTCAAGCTAGAGGCTTGAAGTTTCTGTAGCAGTGTTTATTTTTACAGGATGGGTTTGCTAGCCTCATGCTCAACCTTTCCTCTTCACCAGCATTATTTCTGGCTTAGCGAGGTAAAGGAGTGTGTGAATTCTGCATGAATTATAGTGATTGTCACTTATGAAGAAGATATGTGTTGTAATTAGTTGTTAATTTGCATTAGCATCGACCGTTTTGTTAACTTGGAATTCGATATATTTTCGTCATGTGACTTATTCGCTATCAATTGTTAAACTCGGTATGTTAATATGCCGATTGATTACAGATTCACCTGAGTATCAGGCATTAGGAATTCCCGTTGTTTAGAATTTCTGCGTTTTCCCAGTCAAATAGATGTTCATATTATTCTACATGCTTTGCAATGGAACGGTACATGTCGTGTCTTTTGACGGCTAGTTTATGTTTTTTATAACTCCTAGTCGAGGGGGATGCCCACCTTGACCGGTGTAGTATATTTCGCAATTAATACAATTTATTATGTTGATCTCTTTTTCCGTTTTTGTCGAGTCTTTTAGTTTGCATAGTACTGAATGAAGTAATTTTATTGGCTTCTTACGATATCTATTCTAGCCGTTGATTCAGAATTATTCTTCATATATGGTAGGACGAATTTTCTTATGGCCTCTGAGGATAGTTTCTCCCTGGTAGTTTGATTCGAGTTTAGACATTTTGTGAAGTCAGTAGATATCTCACTTCTCCTCAGGACGACCGATACTCATACAGGTTGGCGATCACAACCAATATCAATCATATGATTCATGGAGTATTCATATTGAAACCTGTGCTTAATATGTTGTCTGAAAAAACAACAACAGCAACATTGAATGCTTCGCAATCAAAATAATAACCCAGCTCTGAGAACAAAATCACATCAGAAAGATGTAAAAATGTGTTGTGTTGGATAATCGTCTCTATTTGAAAATATTGCTCTTAGCCGAACAGGTTTTAAGTAGGAGGGCCACTCACAGTAAATTTGAAGTGTTATGTTATTATATCTTCATCTACACGGAAGGTGTTTACCGTGAAAAGTTACTTTGTATACATGGAATATTTTCTGTAATAATTTTCATCATAATGTGTGACATTCCTATCCAATCACTGGATATTTATTTATCAGTCTGATATACGTACATTTTTCTCTAGAAAGTTTAAAAGAGTTATAGGGATATGAATTACAGTCATTATGGGTTATATGTGATGTATATTTCTTCTCTTCCACCTAATAGCAGGTGTACTTTCGATCTGAGTCAATATTTTTTGCACAACTAGTCTTTCTTTGTCTACCATGAAGTTTACGGTTTGTTTGATTACGCTGAACAATATTTCATCTCACTTTTTAATACACTGATGTAGTTACGTGAAAAGTTGACTGAATTAAATGATTTTTTAGAAAAAATAATGCTTTTCATTTTTAGCTAAAATTTTGACACAGATTGTAATGATCACTAATGCAAATAGCCTATATTTTGTAGAGTTCAACGAACAAATTTATATCTGCTTCTGACCATAATCTCCGTCAATCTAATGACAACAAGAAAAATATGTATTTCAAGCCAACATCTACACAACCGAAATTTTCACAGGGAAATGCCACAATTCAAGCACGAGAACTACATTTAAAAATTCCTCATATTGATGATACTACTAATAATAATTCTAGTCGTTCACTGTCATTCACTGACCCACCACAATTTGATATGCGAAAAAATGACACAAAAGAATCATTCTCTGAATTTTGTCTGTCTTCTTCGTCGAGTACGTCTACTAGTTCTGTATCACAGTCAGCAGTGGAACAAAGTGATACTTCACAAGACAGGACAATGTCAGAGATGTTAACAGCAAACAAAGTAAGTGTTTTATCTTTATTTGTTAGATGTTATGTGATCAACCTGCGGCGGTGGTTCAGCGGTACAACGCTTGTTAACCATACATGTGGTCTTGGGTTCGATCCCCGGCTGACTCACTCCTAAACCTCACTAGGCCGGTATTAAGGCCGATAAAGAGGGAAGGTTAGGCGTGAGGTTTGCAACCTCACCCCGTAAAAATAAAAACCACTGCTACCGAAATCTCAAAAGTCTATCTTGAAGCCTTCCCTATATTCCACTCTGTACGTAAAGGAATAGAAAAAATATGTGATCAACCTGCTTTCACGCACAAACATTGAAACACATCACTTCAGTCGTTATTCTTATTTTCCGGAATGTTAAGGGAAGAAACCGTCAAGTAAACAGAGCAAATACATCGAAGATAACCAAATTAATTGATAAAAAGGATGCTTAAACGCCATATACTCAGGTTGGGTAATTAGTGTTCAAGCGTTCTAACAAATTCTGTGGTTCATGGAAGTCATCAGAAACGTCATTGCGCGATCTGTTTGAAAATCTTTGTTTATTTATTTTAGATATTGAAAATTATTTTGTCCTACATTGTTCAGTACACTTTCGTAAGACTAGAATCCCGTAGTAATGATTATAATTTTATGAATGTTAGTAATGATGATATGTACTTGACAACCATTTTAAGATGTGTATGAGTAGTCTTCAGTCATACGTTAACCTGTAACATGATCCTGTGTTGTATATTGATTATCAAGGTGTCTTCCTTTTTGGTTGAAACAAGCAAACCGTTTCATTACTGGAGCCTCGCACTGTTCTGTCTGAAGTAAATCGAGCGTTGAATTAGGTAATTGTTGAACAGAAAATCCCCAAATTGATCCCCTAATGATTCCTCGGAAAAGTTAAACTACTGCACACTAAACGAACAAGCGTGACAATGACTTTGTACCGACCAGCCACGTTAAAAATAAAAGCGAATTTCGTTGGATAGAGAGAAATCCAATTATAAGTGTTAATAATAAATTCTGTTCAGGATTCTGGGGAAAAATTTCATCTGGCAAGTATCTAACAAACAGTTTGTAACTATAAACTAACCGTGAAAAATAGTCACTTGCATGAATATTGACACAGCTGAGAGAAGCTGGGAGTTATTTGTAAGATATTGTAAATAACGATATTACTATGTGACATACAAAAGACGAAGATGATGAAGATAACCAGCGAACATCAACAACCAACACCAATCACCATCAACGGGTGAGGTTTAACAGAGGTTACCTCCTTCACTTATCTAGGAAGCATCGTTTCAACTACAGGTGGAACGGACGAAGATGTCAAAATCAGAATCGGGAAAGCAAGATACGCCTTCATCAACCTGAAACCAGTTTGGAAATCATCTGCACTCAGCATCAGGAACAAGTTTCGGATTTTGAACACCGATGTCAAGTCGGTTCTTCTATACGGGTCATAAAGTTGGCGAGCGTGTAAAGAAAAGGATTTTGAACAGGTTGCAGACCTTCATCAACACCTGCCTTCGCTGGCTCCATACTGAAGACCAAATGGCCGGCCAGAAAGAATTGGCAATAAGGAATTCTGCTATGGAACAAACTAACCAAAATCGCTCGCTCAACAAATATGTAGGAGAAAGTGGAGATGGATTGATTGGGCATACATTGAGGAGGCCGTCAAATGACATCGCGCTCGATGCAGGCCATCACTCGAGTGGAGTCCCAATGGGAAGTGACGAGTGGGTTGTCAGTGCAAGAGGAACATGGAGGAGACCGTGTTAGGAGGAGATGAGAGATTATGGTCAATCGTGGACCCAGATGAAGAGGATGGCAGAAAATAGGAGAAAGTGGAGATGTGTTGTTGAATCCCTACGTTTCACTTAAAACCCCAGGGAATAATAATAATATTTGACATTTCCAGAACAGTTTAACTATTTTTTCGCTAATGTACTCTTTTTCACTCAAATTCACCTTCTGAGAGCACTTGGTCAGTTGGAGGTAATGGCTACATTCATGTGCTTACACCCCCATAGTTTTGCATTCACCAGTAGTTCTGTAGTGTAATACGATGCGTAAATCCTTCAAACTGCATGAATTATTGTCTGTCTGTCTGGATTCAACATAGAAACTGGCACCGAAGTGCAGCAGTTCGAGTTGCCACGTTCCAAATAGCACACAAAGGTAGACAAGAAAATGAATGAAGAGAATCAATAGAGTTTTGACAAGTATAAGAGTGAAACAGTGAATAATGCTAGAAAGGAATACGAAAGATTACAGAGACTGAATACATCTGCGCCATTGCCAGCAATTTTGAGCCATGTCACCTATTGTCTCCAGCTATTGATTCTTAGAGTCCCGAGGGCCCCAACCCAGAAGTCTGCATCTCCCTACCTGACTCAGTTTAACTGTCAAGGATTTCATGGATTGATACCATGTTTTTGTTTGGCCACCACTTACTCTTTTCCAACCTGCACCTATATCAGCTAGTGTAATGCCCGTCGGGGGAGGCGATGGTTAGGCATGCGCAGCACGTGACCTAGCCATCTCAATCTATGTAACTTTATAGCCTCGTCGATTGATTTTCCCTCTTTGCCCAACACTCTTATTATTGTGCGCGGCCATTGACAAAAACAGCGGAAGCAAGTCAGCGAACACTTAGGTAACATCTTACCTCCTAGCATCCACTTATGTTCTAAACAATTATTCTTTGTATGATTTCATCCAGAAAGAGCACCAGGCATTAAAAAGTAAGTTTTCAGTTAGTATTCGCCTACTTTTCGTGTTTTATCTGTGTCCAATGGTTTCTTTTAAATCTTGTTCTTAGTTTTTGCATCCAATTTTTCTGAATTATTTTCATATTATTCCTGAATTCCATAGTCTCGTCTACCGTGTGGCATTGAAAGTATTCGCCCGCATTTGGAAAATATTGATAACGTGCCTTTACAGGTGTCGTTGTTTACAGATTGTTCACCTAAAGGTTAGTTGATATTTAGTTTCATTGTCAACACTATATTTCACTTAGTATAGTGAGTCAGTGGTACATCAACAAATTTACTGCAGTCCGTGTATTTTACTGTAATCCCAAAGTGAATTTATACTCTTACTTTAAAATGTATATACACCATAGTTAGCTAGTCCCATACCTACCATATTTCTTGACCTTATGATAGTATTTGTATCCCTTTCATCGAGATGTCTGATTGTGAAGTGAACACCATGAGAATGTGTCATGCTAATCAAAGTATTCTGCTCAAAATCATGCAGTCATGTAAAAGAGCTAATGGAGAGTTTTCATCAGAAATGATAAGAAAATGTAGATTATAACTGTTACTGTTGTTATTTAAATTTATTATAGACTTAGTAATGCCTGTCTGTTTGCTTGACTTGTATATCTCAAGAGTCGACTTTTTACTGGTAAAAGAGATAATAATTTGATGTGCAGAAGATATAGTATTGTTAGACAAAGACAGCGTTTTCTGTCTAACCTGACCACGAATTTGAATATATTCTTCATGCGGTTATCCCTGTGAAATCTAAGATGACGAATGCCACAGGGCTGATTTGTATGACATATAGTTTAAGGATTGGTTGAATATATTGACTGCCTCACTTATATTTGGGAATTCGTATCAGACCATGTGAAATGATTGATGACGCAATCTTGTCACCGATCCATATGTCAACATATCAGTAGCTAATAAGTTTTAGTGTGTGAAAATATCGGTATTACTCACATAATAGTATTTTCGCTCAACGCAACTCGAGTACATCTTGGTGTATTCTTTAGATTCAAGTATTGGTTTGTAGGGATTTAGTTGATTGGTTACAGGATTTCATCATGAGCTGACATTGGTTAGAGAACCACTGGAAAACCTGAGAGTACTGGACAGATGTTTCGTCCTAGCCTGGGACTTTTCATCAGTATGCACCCACCGGGGTTCAAACCCAGGACCTTCTGGTCACAAGGCTAGCAAGCTCGTAGACCATTAAGCCACTGGGACCCGATCCAATGGTCCATGAATTCTAACTTTTGCCAATTCACGATATAGCGCGACCGCTATCCAATGTCTTCGGTGAGTATTTGTCCTCACACCCGCCCTGCTGCACCCTACTGGTCACGACTTCCCACTGGAACCCTTAGATTCAGTTATTGGTGTATCTGTCTGTGTGTATGTATTCTTGCTTCGTCTCAAACAAGGACTAGTGTTCATTCAATCCATAAAAGTTTTAGAGAGAATATTAAATTATAATAAAGGTTTTTGTATTTCCCAATGAATGAAAAACAAAACGATATTGTTTTTACTGACGTTTCGCTATTTAATGCTAATACCACCGAAGAATCCTGTTGAACTACAAAGACTTGAAAAATCATCAGCCATAGGTCTACATGCTATAGAATCAGGCCACAAAATTGATTTTGACAATGTTGAAATAATACAGAAAAACTTCAGAAATCACAAAGAACGTTTAATATCAGAAGCACTTCATATCAAGTGGAATCAAAATTGCCTGAATAGGAATGATGGACTAAAACAGAATCTGACCTGGTTACAACACCTCCCTCCCCCCCCATCAAGTGACAAAACCAACACGAATGTGATAAGCACTTTCATTATGTAAACACACGCTGCTTTTATAATCTCATACACTTATCAAATCCAACAATCTACACATGATGATTTTGTTATCTTTACCAACTTAACAACTAAAAATACCCCAGACAGACGAACGATGATCAAGTTAGTAAACTTTTCTTTCCTTTTTTTTCGATATCATAACAGACATACTATTACCTTTGTTATTTGGTATAGTTATCTTCATCGCTATTTTTACTTTCAATATGTCCTTTTAACTTGACCTATGTCTATTTTCTCACCCCCTAACTGTTTGTTATATATATGCTGAGATTTGTAAATTCTGGTTTAATAATACTTTGATAAAGCTATTAGCATTAAATAGCGAAACGTCAGTAAAAACAATATCGTTTTGTTTTTCATTCATTGGGAAATACAAAAACCTTTATTATAATGAATATCATATACCCAATGCCCAAATTTTTTCAAACCGTTAAAAGTCAACTTGGTTTGGACATAGATAGAATATTAAATTGTATACTGGATGTTTACAGGCATAAATAATATTGATAAGTCATTAAGTGTACTACACATCCACATTTATATCATCCATTTTGCATCATTTCGTTCATAGCTATTGGTGAAATGGTGAAAATAATGAAAGAATACGGAGATACTGTTTGCTTAGTTGGAAGTTGTTATTCACTTACTAATTATGCACTATTCCTTCAAAGTGATGTCGCTATAGCTGTTAAACCTATTTTACCATATTCAACATGTGAATTTGCGAAAAATGGAATGGACTGCCGGAAACAAGTGAGTTTATCTAGCTTTCTTTCCTATTACACTGTCATTTCTTGTAGAACTTGAATGCTTCACTGTATAATACTTTCATTCCTTAAACAGTAATAGTGATAATAATTTGCCCGAGTTTTTAATTTTCCTGTGTTTGTTCGCTCGACTAAGACGTCCCCAAAAATGGCATCTTGTTCTCGAATAATTCCTCTTCTCTCGTGAATATGATTTCGTTGAAGATGTTGTTTATTAGGTTGTGAGTTTTGTCCAACTCGTTTCTTTTGATTATTACGAATGTGTCACTTACGTAACGTTTTGGGTTTGATCTAGGACTATGTTTTCGAGTCTTGGCATTAGTGCTTCTACAATCAAACCCGATATGGCAATCCAATGCGTATTCCCTTAATTCCTCCGCATATTTGGCCGTTGAATTGGAAATACGTTGTTACGCATAGGTTTATGCATTCCATCCAACTTGTGTGTCGCATTTTTGATTGTTGTGGGAGGTGTTCGTCGTTGCTGATTAGCCGCTCCATGGTTCCTTCTCTAGTTTCTGTCTAATTAGGGTATATAATGTTGTGACATCGAAGGTTTCCGTTACTTCTTGATCATCTGTTTGAACGCCTTTGATTTTCTCCAGAAATTGGATTGCAGATTTGATATAGTGGTCGCAGGAATCTGTTAAATGTTTCACTTCTCCACGTAGCTCTTTGGACAAATTGTATGTTGGCGTTCCTGGGAGTGATAAAATTGGTCGTAACGGGATATTTGGCTTGTGTATTTCGGGCCTGCCGTAGAATCGGAGTAGAGCTGGTCCATTGGATTTCATTCGTCATTGGTTTTATTTTGTGATATGACCTGTTTTTTGGTGAGCTTGTTTACGGTTCTTTGGTTGCGGTTGTCTAATGTTTGGATAGGATTTGTTACAAGCTGTCGGTACACATTTTCATCTTTGAGTTGTTCTTTAGCTTTCTTGGTGTATTCTACTTTGTTCATGACTATTGTGGTCCTTCCTTTGTTAGCTGATGGTAGTATGAAGATGTCTCTCCTATTTTGTTTAGCTTTTTAAGGGTCTTTAGTCCTTGAGAGTTATGTGTGTTGCTTTTTCCGTTTGACCGTTGGTACGATTGTTTGGCGTATCTCTTCTTGTGTTTCCTCGTGTAAGTTCGATGATTTGAGTGATGATTCAAGGGCGGCGAAGAAATCAGTTTTTGAAGCGTCTTCATTGTTGTATTCCATCTTCTTGTATATTATAATTAGCAATTTTCTTAATTTAACCTTTGACTGTAAATAATTTTGGAACTATAAATACACGAATGTATAGCCTAGTTTGATGACTTCGTAGAAAAGAAAATTTTCTTCTCTGCAACTGTCTTTTTGTTGATGTACTTAAGTGCATTCGAAAAAAACATTTATTTATTCAAGTTAGCAACAAATCCACTGAAATATATTAGAAAATAATGAATAATATTAGAATCTTTGGTAATTTGCACATGACTTCTATAAAATCTGTTTTTAAATAATAGTAACAGTAATAATAATTTCGTAGGAAGTACAACTTTTAGTGACTCATTAGGTAGGTTACTGAGCTGGTAAAATAGACTACTAGTTTAACTTCTGCTGCATTTAATTTTCCCTCTTAACACTACTATTCATCATGCCGTTACAAAATGAAACACGTTCAACATTGAAGTTATTCCAGTTGTATTGAAATCCATCTCACTCGCCCTGATTGATTATGCTGACTGCTTTGTCTTAGTCCACCGCAGATGGAGATCCAATTATCCGTAATGTGTCTAACTTTTCACTGGCAATATAATAGCATAAATACCCAGTTTTATCAATGAGTAATTGTTCGAGTTGGCTGGTTATACTAATAGTCACTGTTTTTTACCAGACCTTCAGAAATCGATCGATACCAAGCAGAGTTAAAGTGTCATCTATTTGAAATGGAGTATATGTGATTGCTAATGATTCTTTAGTTGTTTTATCACTGGAAATTAAATATTGAAGTTAGTTTTACAAAGTATTCTATGTGTATTCTGATTAAATGTAGAATTACTTTGCCTGGGTATGTTTATTTTTATAATAAGCTATTGTTAACTATGAGAACTGAGTTGTCTCACAGTGAGTTAATCGTTAATTCGCAGCCAAGTATACGCGTGATAGTGATATGCGTAGGTGGTTCGGTTGTCGAACGCCTTCCAGCCACGCACGTGATCCGGGTTCGAATCTCAGCCGATTAGCTCCTAAAACCCGCCTACTTTACCAGCAGGTAATAAGCTCTGAAAAAAGGTAAGTTTGGAGGCGAGGAATAGCAACCGCATCTCGTGAAAATAAACAAAACCTTCTCCTACTGAAATTCTGAAACTTGAAGCCCCCTGTAATCCACTCGGAACTCAAATGCATGCAAAAAAATTATTATTATTATTTCCTTTAGTTCCTAGAGGAACATAGGGCTTCAGCCATGCGTCTCCATTGCGTTCGGTTCTCTGCTAGAGTCTACACCTGGCTCCAAGTCTGCCCACACGTTTTCATCTCCTCTTCACATGACCTCCTCCAAATCACCCTCGCACTGACGACCAACTCGTTGTTTCCCTTTCGGGTTCCACTCGAGCAATCGCTTGTCTAGTGATGTCACTTGATGGTTTCCTCAGAGTATGGCCAGCCAATCCATCTCCATTTCTTCCTGCCTATTTGTTTCACAAAAAAATTAGTAGTAGTAGTAGTAAATATCTACCAGAATGCTTCATCTGAAAATATTTGTTCACCTTAGAGGGAGATTTTCATTTATAATACATAACTACGGATCTAGTGTAATACGCGCCTACCTGCAGAGTGGATGAATCGAATTAAAATACTTAGTTTAACTACATTTTATGTGCGTGACGAAGAGACTGTCCAATTCTCTCCATTTGTTTTGTTGTGAACTCGTTTTATCTTAAACCTTTTAAAACTTACTTTCCAATATACTTTTCATTACCTATGCAAAAGAACGATTTCCAGCTGAATGAATCTGAATGTGCAAATAGTCATCTTATTGATACCAATCAAAAAGATTGTTCTTTTCGTGTGAATATGTTCGATATTGCTGCACGTCTCATGCATTTAGTTACACCCTGTCTACTGGATATGGAGAAAGAAGGATTTCGTGTTTACGATCTTATAGTTGAGGTGAGTGAATGAATGAAGTAATTTTCGATTGAATAATGGTGCGTGTGGTCAATGGATTTATTGTCAATGAGTTCTAATATCGCTAAGTCAATTTCAGTATAACATCTTTTCTCTCATAAACTGTGAAACAGTCTATTTAACCTCAAGCAGGATATAGACTGTAAGACCTTTAATGGGCGTGTTTATACTCAGTGTCAGAGAAAAATGATTCCTTTATAGAATGCTCTTCCCATCTGCGTACAAGTATCAAAAACAGCAGATGAAAATGTGTATCCATATTTATTCGACTAGAAAACATACTTCTCCTAAGATACTGCCTGAGTTGTGTTTTTTTTTTATCATGAGCACAACACGCTTTCCTAAATAAATATTTCTTTTTTGCTCAACTGTCGTCATGTTGCATATTCACGATTTGATGCAAGAGCAATTATATTAAACTCCAAAGTATGGCAAAAGTATTGAGTAAATTGAATACAGAATATGACACGAATATACACAAGGCTTCTGTCCACTTGTCCGAACGTCGTCGTAGAAGCATTAAGTGAATGTGTTTAGATGCAGTAGCTTAGTGAAATGGTCCACATTCTTTGGGTTTTTTTTTTGTCTTTATGATATTTAGAGTTTAAAACTGTTACATATGCCTTTATTTAATTTTATTCTCTCCATTGTTTTCTTACCATAACACTGATTGGCAGTGCAGTAATTTAAACCCCAGTAGACTTCTACATGAATATAAACAATAACCTTATTTTTCGCTGGAATCGGGGAAGTCAAATGACGCAGGCTGGTGAAAGCCCTCAGGAAACCAGTCTGCCGATGTGCCTCCTTTCGATGAAAGCAAAAATAAGGATGGGGACGTGGAATGTTCGTACAATGTACGAAGCTGGGAAGGCTACCCAGGTAGCCGCAGAAACGAGAAGATATGGAATAGAAGTGTTGGGAATCTGCGAGAGCAGATGGAGCGGATGTGGAAGGTGCCGACTATCAACTGGAGAGACAGTAATCTATTTCGGTCATCCAAAGGACAACCATGAGCACACCGAGGGAGTGGTCATCATGATGTCACCAACCAATCTCCTCCAGGATAATGAAAGCTAGGTTCAACTCAAAAGGAAAGAAGGTTACAATCATTCAATGCTATAAACGAGAAGACAGGGATCTCCTGGACTGACGTGAAGAACCTAGAAGACCTGGATTTTGCGCGTGGATGATTTGTGTTTGATGTCACACAAAATCGAAGACTTACAAGCGAAAACCGACAAACTGGTCGAAGAAACAGCAGAGACAGGACTCCAGGTGAACATAGACAAGAAGGAGGTTATGAAAATAACCACCACCACCAACAACAACAGCAGCAGCAGCAACATCCAGCGCCAATCACCATCAACGGGAGGGATTTGAAAGAGGTTACTTCATTCACTTATCTAGGGAGCATTGTCTCAACTACAGGAGGAACGGACGAGGATGTCAAATCGAGAATCGGGAAGGCGAGAAACACATTCATCAACCTGAAACCAATCTGGAAATCTTCGTCACTCAGCCTGCATCAACAACAAAGTGATTCGGATTTTCAATACAAACGTCAAGTCAGTTCTTGTATACGGATCAGAAACTTGACCAGCGGGTCACAAAGAATATTTCCAACAGCCTGTTGCAGACCTTTATCAACAGCTGTCTTCGATCTGTACTGAAGATCAGATGGCTGGAAAGAATCACCAACAAGAAACTATGGGAACAAACGAAACAAGAACCACTCGCTGAGGAGGCCGCTGGGTGACATCGCGCGTCAGGCCATCGCTCGAGTCGAACCCGAAAGGGAAGCGGCGAGTGGGACGTCCAAGGGTGACATGGAGGAGATCGCGTGAAGAGGAATTGAAACAGTATGGATTAACATGGACGCAGGTGAAAAGTACAGCAGAAGACAGAAGCAAGTGGAGACGTGTAGATGAAGCCCTATGTTCCACTAGGAACCCAAAGGAACCATAATAGTATAATAATAGACTTCTACATAATGTTTTACATTTATCTACAAGTCTACCTGTTAATGACAGGGAATCGAATTCTTTCCGAGCAGATTGTTCATAGCTAAAGTGTGCATCAAAGAATGTTTGAATGCACTGACAAGTTATCAGCTGTGTCTATATTTTGAAAACCAATGCCTTTATTCGGTTACTCAAGTCAAAAGCATAAATAAGTGCACTTCAACTGCATAGTGCATATATATGTACACTTGGTTTTCACTGGATTACATGTTAACGAGTATTTCATGCTGTATATGTAAACTAGCTTGTACGTCTTAGTCTCCATGCTGTTAGTATCTAAAATTCTTGCCTTTCAATAAATCTGTTTTGAAATGAAAAGACGCGTGTAATAATTGATCTTCTTGGTTAGCGACCGAGGGTTATTGAATCAAGTCATGAAATTAGGCCATGATCTGACGAAATCTTTTGATCTCTCTTCAAGGCAAGTAAGCCGTTTTAAGATATTGTTATTGATGAATAGTTAGTGCTTCAAACTGCCAGCCTTCTTAATCCATATACGGTGTCTCCATGCTAGACTAATTTGTTTAATGGCTGATATTATATCGAAATGTTCGCTGTTTTCAATCCATTCTACCGTAATTCACCTTGTCTGAAAGTATATTTCATTCTACCGTTTCACACTAAAATGTCATCTACCTGTGTATAAAATACCAGTATAAGGTAAAAGGTGTCATTATTGTAAGTAATTCAACTGTAGGTGTTATACAAGTTAATACTCTGTACCGTATCTACAAATATGAATACCTGAAGCTGACTACTAACCTTGAATCTTCGGCTTGAACAAATGGCTAATATATCACAATAGACACTGTTAAATTCTATATATGTATATACCTGTACCAAGTGCTTTTTATGTTGTTTGATAAGCATAATACATTGATTGAATTGTTTTTCTAATTTAGGCTCATGCCAGCGTCAACAACCTCTATCATTGTTTAATATTCAGTTGTACAACACCACTATCCGTTGGCTTACTACAGTTATTGTTATTCATTGTTGGTTTACCTACACGACCTGTTATGATTTCGGATGTTCAGATGAATTCTGGTCAGAATGAGTTAATCTGGCTGCCTGCAGATCCATTTCGATCTTATCTACTCGGTTCCAGGGAAATATTTAATAATTTAAGCAGATTTGATACATATACCAATATCAATTTATTACACTATAATAGAAATTGTGATTTGGAACCACTTTTCAGTATTGGCCAACTGTTTTGGCTTCTTTTCGTTGTCATCCCAGCCTTAACCTTATCATTAATAGACAGGCGCATTGAACGAAACCAACCTCTACGCGAACCACCAATTAAGCGTAATAAATTGTTCACTAAGAAGGTGAGTTTCTATGCGAAGTAATTCATTAGTTTCCATATATATCACACTCTCTACTCCTATCCTTTATTATGACTGTGAGAAATAGTCATTGAAAGTGGAAGATGTGATGAAAAGGCCAGCTGTCTCTAATTACAGATGTTTACCTTCTGCCTCCCGTGTTAGGTGGTTTAATATGGCAAGCAATATTGAAGTGCAGAGTGCTAGGAAAGGGAAGGAAAGGAAGTCAGTTGATGAATTTTTGAAAGTAAATCGATTGAAATAGTGTTAGTACACGTTTTGTTCATGCTGTGAGTAATCTTGGCCGTTATTGGATCAGGTTTGAAAGGAGTAAATGGTGGTTAAATCAAAACCCGAAATGAATCTATGAAGTGTTTGACAGTTAGTTTAAGCCACATAGAGAGAGAGAGAGAGAGATGTACAGAAAAGTTTTAACATACTTGCAAATTTTGCATGTTGTCAGTTGACAGAAAGTTCCACAATTAGTAAACAGTGCTCAGAAAATTGCGCTAATGTGTTTACCATGGGTGTACAATTCCAGTTTGACAACACTCTTTACCGACAAATAGATGGTGTAGCTATGGACAGTCCACTTAGCCCTGTTTTAGAAGATATCTTCATGTCAAACCTTGAAAAAACAAAGTTGAAGCGGGCAATTGATGAAACAACTTCCTATTGTCGATATGTCGATGACACATTTGTAGTATGCAACAACGAAAGTAATGCCTCCTACCTACTCAGACTATTCAACAACGCACATACAAATATTGTATTTACTATGGAACATGAAAATGATGGAATGTTCCATCTCCTTGACGCCTCCATGCGACGCCTAGAGGATGGTAGTCTCCAGAGGTCAATTTACCGAAAGCCCACATGGAATGGACAATACTTACATTCTAATAGTTTTTATTCAAATAGCTATAAACGAGCACTAGTCAAGACTCTGTACTATAAAGCGAAGAGAATATGCTCTGCAGAGAAACTAGAGGAAGAATTTACGATTCTCGAAAAGGTGCTGGAAAACAACGGTTGTCCTCAAAGATTCATTAACAAATATGGAAGATCTGAAGTCTCAAATGAAAACAAATCACAGTGGGGACAAAGCCAATCTACATTCAACTTGATTATAAGGGTGAAAATATTGCAGCGATGATCAACAGAAGACTAGCCAGAGCCTAACCTGCAGCTTAGTTGGTCCCCGTCCATCGAACAACATGCTCTTCGGTGCAGTCAAAAGTCGATAGATACTCTTCTCATGTTAACTCCAACTGTGTATACAAATTTACATGTATCTCCGGGAGCAGTTACACTGGGAGAACAGAAAGAAGGGCTCACCTCCGATTTTCTGAACATGTGCCGAAAAGTATACGTCTCAAGGGAACAAACTCTTACAGTAGCGCTATTACCAGACATCTCCTCGACACGGGTCATGAGGTGGAAATCGGCAAATCCTTTAAAATTATCAATAGACAAAGGTGCTCCATTCTCCTCAAGTTGGCCGAAGCAATTTCTATCAAACGCTTGAAACCAGACTTGTGTGTTCAGAAAGAAGCAGTTATTAGTCTTTCCTTCCCATGGTAACTGGATGTCTTTATTCTTTCTTTCATCTGATTACGTAATCTTCGTCTTTAACCTCACCCCATTTTATAATCTGTAATTTTGCTTGTCTCTTGTTTCTGTGATTTGAGTTCAAATCAGTATATTGTTACCTAATTTATTAGTCACTCTGCATCTAACGTATATCTTGTCTTTATTGCGTAACTCCTTTACCATTGTATGCATACATTTATTTTGTTTAAACTTGAACTGCCTGTGCAAAAACTATATAAGCGCAATTTTCTGAGCACTATTTACTAATTGTGGAACTTTCTGTCAACTGACAACATGTAAAATTTGCAAGTATGTTGAAACTTTTCTGTACGTAAACCTCATAATTTATTTAGGCTCTAAGCAGCTGACGAGAAGCCAACGAAATAAATGATGGTACCATATTATTCTGCACAAACCACTGTTGCTGTTCTTGCTTTATTCAAATTCATCACGGGGAATAAATGCATGAAGCCTCTTAGATCTAATAAACCCTCATATTTCACCATGTTACAGTTGTTCCTCCTACACGTTTGTGGTCATTATAGTTTCCTTTAGTTTTTTCCCCTCTGTTTTCTGTACCTTTGTTTGCTACATGGAGTGTGGCAATTTAAACTGCTGCACACTCGTGGAAAGTTATTTGTTGAAACTCAGTCAGTCAGTCTACTAATACTGTATAGAACAATAAACTACACAACATAGTTACTATTTATTCCATGTCTAGATCCAAATACTGTTTCTGATATAACGAAATTGGTAATAGTTAAATAATAATAATAACTATTATTATATACAATACTAATAGAACAGTACATTCCCATATTGATCATCTATAATGCAAAGAATATGCATATTCTTCTTTTAGATGCATTCTACGTTTGACTTATACGGATTCTCAAGTATTGGTTTTGTAGGAATTTTGTTTGATTGCATGGAGGATTTCATCATGAGCTGACATCAGTTAGAGAACCACTGGAAAACCTGGGAGTACTGGACAGCTGTTTCGTCTTAGTTTGGGACTCTTCATCTGCACCCACCCACCGGGAATCGAACCCAGGACCTTCTGCTTACAAGGCGAGCTAGCTCGTAGACCATTGAGGCCACTGTGACCTGGCCACTGCCCAGTCCATGAATTCTAACTTCTGCCAATTCACGACATAGCGCGACCATTTCGCAATGTCTTCTTCGATGAGTTACTGTCTCATCTTCAACCTGCTGTACCTTACTGGTCATGGCTTCCCACTAGAACCCCAGGTTAACTGCCTAAATAAGGCCATCACTAGTGAGCATTTCATCGGTGGGTGCGTACTGCTGAAGAGTCCCAAACTAGCACGAAACAGCTATCCAGTTCTCCCAGGTTTTCCAGTGGTTCTCTAACTGATGTCAGCTCATGATGAAATCCTCCATGCAATTATACGGATTCATTTTGCTTTCTGTCAAACTAACCCATCAACCGCATCCACTGTTTTACTTATGTCATAGACGTTGTATCACTAAGTGCATACTTATGCGTAATATTAACAGTTTTCAAACAATTAATTCATAATTAGGCAAGCTGATTTATAGGCTCTATCAAATCGATAATTATTGAAGCATTGTACTTTGGGTAAAGTGTAACTTATCACATCTTTTACTCAGTTGATTTTCAACCGAATCCGATTTTTTTTTATAGCTCAGAGTGCTGCTGTGCCTAATCCTCCTTTTAACGCTTAGTGCATCAGATTTTCTAATTTATGCTCAGCATCTTACCTCTTAGTTGCTGTTTCTTATGACTACACTGATATGTACTGCTATGAGTTATGTAAAGTGTGTTCGTTCAACCTTTCCTATTGTTTATTCCAAACATTATGTGATCAATAAATTTAGTCCTTTAACCTGATCAGATATTTGTTTGTTTGATATGATAATTCTTTGTGTGTTTATGCATTTGTTTATCGATGTATGAATTTGTTTGTGTTTGTTTGTTTGTTCATATTTTCTGCATCAATCCAGAGGTGTGTACGTTTCGCTTTGGTTACTTGTTCCCGTTTCATACCGTCAGTATTAATATGTGTCTTATGTGAAGTTGGTCACTTCCTATGGACTCAACAATTTAATGATTGTCAAACATCATTTCAAAGTATATATGCAAATAGATCGGACACTGGGAATGTATTCATTATGAATTCAAGTACATCTAGTAATCAAATTTCAGTGTAAGTTGTTGTCGTTATAGTTATTATATTGTTGTTGTTGTTATTGTTGTTGTTTATTCCTTTCCGTGTTTTGTAATCTCTGCAAATTAGCTAGCTCTATTGATTGTTGTTTTCGATGTTTGTTTGTAATACTTAATTCCATCCTGGTGTAATTATTATGGACAACAATAATATCATCAGTGTATATAACTGAGCTTGACTACAATAAAAACACTATAACTAGTAATTAGTCCTAATAAATGCCTACTGGACACCTGTAGTACACACCAAAAGTAAAACAGAAACTCCCTTTTTCACTGTCCTGTGATACATTTTTTTTATATCGTTGTTATTAGTGGATATGCTTCCTTCCTCCTGATGCAAATTCAAGACAAACCATATAGGCAAAAAATAAGCGTAGATTTTAAGCGGTTTTCGTCACTGAACAGTCTAATGTTCATTCCTTCAATTGCGTGAACTTGTAACTGCGTTTCTGGACTTAGTGTAAGACCTTAACATTCCTGGCACGCATGCTCATGACGTCTATGGCTGAATACTGCTGAGTGTATTCTCAAAGCCTCATGAAAAAGAAACTGTACATGCATAGTGCTTTTTGGTTTCAATTGTTTTTTAGCTTAGATTGTTTTGAAATGAGAATTACCTTCTTAGTTGAAGACAGGATTTTGTAAATTTATACAATTCATTTACGATTAGTATTTGGAATACGTCTGTATGCTAAAATGCTATCTTAGACATTAAAATAAACCTTAAGATATACTGATCTGTCTTTCTTGAATTTTTAATACGAACTTTTTGTACTTGGTATTTACTTGCCTGACAGACATTTTTGTTGTTGTTTGTATACACAATAGTGTAGCGCAAAGGTGTGGACGACAGAAAGCCTCCAGGATATATACCCTATCTAATGAGGTTATAACACATAAAAGGTTATTCTAGGCCTAATGATAAACTGATTAAGAGGACATACATAACCTGGGATGCGGAAACTATGATACTCGTGAAATTTCCGCCTGTAGTTGTATCCAAACAGTGTGGCAAAACGATTTAAAAAGTATAGCGAATTCAGTTCACTAGCATGGCTGACTGTGCGTCGGTAGAACAGAGGCTAGGACTCTCACCGACCATGCAAATGGTCCGGGGTTCGATCCCCTACCGATGCACACCTGATATCAATTGGTCAGCCTGCAAAATTTGGGCTACCGATATCACATGCTGAAAATTCCATACTTGTACCAAAAATACGGTGTGGAATCAAGCTATAACCAAAAAAATTCTTTAAAAATATGTTTTTGTGCATCCATATTCATATGTTACAGAAGGATTAACTGCTTATAATCTGACAAGCTTGTAGCTGAATATACACGTAAGTGATCGTCCCTAATGTCTCTCCGTTATTAAGCTTGACCAAAACAAATCAATATGCCCCAGGACATTTTTATGTTGAACAGTTCGCTCATACTAGCACTATTTGACCTCATTCACTTAAATGGAATACAGTTGACTGATAGGATTAATTATTTGTTTGAATTAGAATATATATATATATATATATATATATATATATATGTATTAATAAATTCTCTATCAGGTTGGTGTATAGTTTGTATAACTGACTGACTGAACAATATTCAATGCCCCGTTTGCGTGGGAGTATACATTTTTCAGAAATGAGATCACCTCTAAAATGTATTATATTTAGAAGTGAATTTTGCGTATTTTTATGATTATTCGTAGGTATTGAGTAAATTCGAAATAATAGAGAAGATTTAAAGCTCAGGTGGATGATTTGCAATTAATAGTGTTCTCTGAGCTGGTTGGTTTAGTTGCGAAGCTTTCATTGTCCTTCTGGACAACATCTTCAGCGCCATATGTAGCACAAAGTGAAATGATTTAAATGTCTTCATGAATGATAGAATTGCGTCTCCCGGTAACCATCTTTACATATGTATCATTTCTCCTAATTATTACAAATAATAATAATTAAGAGAAATGATTTAGAATATACTCATAAATTAATAAACAACATATTTGAAGAGATCAAATTCACAAAAGAAAAAGAGATACATAACAAAATCCCATTTTTAGATGTCTTAATCAGGAGAACCAACACAGGAGATTTAGAGACACAGGTATATTGAAAATCAACGCACACAGATCAAATACTCAACTATACTAGCAATAATCCAGTTACTCACAAACGAAACTGTTTGCAGACATTGTTTAAAAGAGTTCAAACACATTGTAGCACTCCAGGGTTGAAAAGAATGGAAGAAAAGTACCTACAAACTGTCTTCAAAAAGAATGGTTATTCACAAAATTTCATCAGAAGGTGTTTATAGTCGAGTCAAAACACCAACAAGAAACCATCATCAAAGATCACAAGAAAATTCATTCTACCATACATGAGAAATATCTCTGAAATAACAGCTAGAATACTGAAACCGTTTGATATAGATACAGCACACAAGCCAGTCAAATCGCTTAATTCTATATATTATGCAAACCGAAAGATCCAAGAGAAAAAGGGGATAAAAATTAGTACCATTTACAAAATAAATTGTATGATCTGCAACAAGCATTACATCGGCCAAAGTGGGCGTCCCCTTCGAATCAGAATCCAAGAGCACAAATCAGCTGTGAAAAGACACGATATATATTCTTTAGTATCAATGCATATAGACAATTATGGTCATCAATTTGATTGGGATAATGTCGAAATCTTAGACAGAGGAAACACCAGAAGTGCAGTGAGGGAATTCCTAGAAGCCTGGTACTCAAACGAAAATGTAATTAACAAAGACATTAATATAGACGAAATATGCCAACTAATAAAAAGTGAATCAGGTGACCAGAAAGTTTAAAATCCAAGTCAATAGAAAATGGTCAACACATATGTAAAGATGGTTACCAGGAGACGCAATTATATCACTCATGACGAAATTTAAATCATTTCACTTCGTGCTAAATATGGCGCTGAAGATGTTGTCCAGAAGGACGACGAAAGCTTCGCAACTAAACCAACAAGCTCAGAGAACACTATTAATAGCAAATTGAGTAAGTTCACTTAGGAGGTGAGGTATGAATCGTCATTGTGCCTGATATCGCCTACTGGAAGAATTCATCTGTATAAATATATCAGCTTCATTTGTCTGCAAAGTTACCCGCCTAGAATAACTTATACCTGTATAAAACTGTTCTGCGAAAGCAGTGAAACTTCCAAATATTAACCCCTTAGTACTTGACATTAGTTCAGTAATCTGTGTGCTTTTCGCTACTTTCAGTCAATTTCACGCATAATATGGTAGCTAAATATTCTCCGAGGCATTTTGGATTCACAAAAGTAGAATGTGGTTCCAAGTTGAAGTTATTGCCGGCATTTGTTAATTAACAGTGATACTATATACAGTGTAGAGACTCAAAAAGTACAGTAGAATATTAGTTAATTATAGAATTTCAGTGAAGTAGCCAATATTTCTTAGATAGAACGAAGTTGTTTAATTTTCGAAAGTCTTCACTGGATGAATACTTCCAAGCTGCAGATAGCTTTTCCATCATTTCTTCAGTACTCATTAGACAACTTTAGAGTATTCAAAGGTAACGCATACAACTGTTGAAGTTGAATATTTGTTGTAGCTCCCTCAAGAAAACTGAAAAAAATACTATCTTCTTTAGCCTTTGAAACAACTCAATAGAGGTTTGAAATTTTTTTATAAGTATCCACGCTAAGGATCGATTATCTGCAAAAATAGAAATAAGATAGGACGAATCAAAATGTTCTACAGTATAATAGATCTCAAAATTAATTTCAGGTCATCTTTTTTATCCTTTTCAAGAAAGAGGGTGTATTACTCATATCTTCACCCTTCGGTAGATGCTAGAACACGGGCATACTTACAGGCATCCAACAATTGCCATACTTTTATATTCGACTCCATCGACCGAGGGGTACTATGGCAATGTTTAACCGTGAAGGGAGTGCCATGAAAGTACACTGTACTAATCAAAAACACTCTACTAAAACTCGTGCAGCCGTGTAAGATCTTACGGAGCGTTGTCGTATTAAGTGACGGTAGTAAGGGGTGCACTTCAGGGATCCTCATTTCCCTTATTTCTGTTTAATTTCATCACAGATGTACTAATGACACTGAACTTAACTGACCCCAACGACTCAGAGATTTACTTGTTACTGGAGAACAAACTTGTTTTTGTCCTTCCAAGTGAAGATGCTTGTTAAATGCAGAGTCTTCTGAACACCTTAAGCAACAGTCTTCGAATATTTGGCATGCTATTTGCTCCTATCAAATGTAAGATGCTGCTAAAGGACTGGACTACATGTACTCCTAGTTGAAGAAACGAAAAGGGTAGCTGTCTTTGATCATAGGTTCTTGCGGCTTTTTCTCCTGTGTCAGACAGTATAACAGTGTGAGTAATATTGAAATTAGGCGCCGAGTATGTAGTAAGGCGGGAAAACCAATTGATAAGGTTATGAAGCTAGATCAGTTAACATAGGATACACATGCCTAGCTATTGCCTCCCTCGATGGACAGTGTTAGCTGACATAAGATCTAGTTAGAAAAGAGCCAGTAATGGTTGAACGAGAGCTTAGAATCAGTCCATGAAATCTTTGACAGTAAGTTTGTGCTGCCTGGTTTGGTTCCTCAGAATGCTTAGAACCACTGGTGGAAACAATTGATGATATGGCTCTAAATCGTTCTCAGTGCTACATATGAATACACTCTTTGTAATCTGCCACATCCATTTTAGCGTAGTGTTTTTCCCTTTTACTATTTTCCCCCTCATATTTCGGTTTAGTATCACTCTTTCAAATATCTTTCCTTTCTTTTGTCCCTCTTTTTTGTCTTTCTTTGTGTGCTACATAGAGTGCGGCAGCTCGAACTGCTGCACTTCTTTGCGAAGTTCTGTGATGAAAGTAGTTTGTCATTCGGTTTGTACGATGCTGAGTCTGATATAGAAACAACTAAAAAACTGATAGAAAATGA